GTGTTAATTATATTTTAATGATTTCTCTCAATTAATTTCAATCTTTTTATGGTCAAACATAGTGACATTATTTATTAAATAATTGTACATGTTTTATCGAGTGATTATGCAGGAATAAATTTGCTATTAAATATTTAATGAAAACTAGGTAATCCATGCGAACTCCATCATAAACAGAATGCCGGAGATGCATTTCTATTTCTATGAACGCTCTTCCGTCTTCGCAATTCGTTTTTCGTGATGACAGGCCTTACCGCGCGGAATTTTCCTAAAAAAGATCAGTGTCGCCGCCAAGCTTTTCTTTTCTTCGAGTTTCCGAAGGGCAGCGATGTAGAAACCACGGAGTCGGAAACTCCGTTGAGCGAGGGTGGTTAACGGGGACACACAATGGATAGGACGTAAGGACGACGTCGGCCGAGTTTTACAGTAGCTGCAAACTTTTCTCTTTCTCTCTCACTATCTTTCTTTCTTTCTTTCTTTCTTTCTCATTTTAACAAGCGCCCCGTTTTCCCTTCCGACGTGACACTCTTTTTCCTCCCTTGGATTAACTCGGTTCTGGTTACCGGATTAAAAGGACAGCCTCGCGCGGCGAATTTTTTCCGTCGACGAGCGATGGCACCCGGAATTTCATCCAACTGGCAGAAAAGTTGGAACGTTCGCCGGCTGCTTAATCCGTTACCCGGCAACCGGTTAATGCAGTTAGTTCACTCGGTAAATTGTTTGGGATGCGCTAACAGAACAGAAAACAAAAAGTATTCGCGAACTTTTGAGAGCTTTCGCGTTTACCTTAGCAACTCTTGGGTTTTCCTTAATCACCTTCGATTCAACAGCATTGCACTGTATAGTAAGTGACTCTGCTTGTCGAGTTTTCTGTTTATTTCAACGTATTGCAGACAGTATGTGTTACATAGAATGTCCTGAATTCAACAAACCATATTTCATATCTCCAGTGAATTCCCTGATCTACTTGTTGATTTTTCGAATCTAAAGTGAAAGAATCAACATCGATTCGCGAATGTCGAGATAGGAAGAATTAATAGTTGTTTAAATGAATAATAATAAATTAAAGGCTCATGAAATTTAGAAAATTCAATGAAAATTAGGCAAACGAGAATACAGTGCTTGGTGCGCAAACAATTAAAAAGTTCAGTTTATAAACAAGTTATATTTGATTTGCTATTACAATCTTCATACATTTTGACCGCATTTTGGGCATTATCAGCGAATGACCTGTTTATAAATGGAACTTTTTAGTTGTTTGTGCATTGAATACCGCGCCATACTCTCATTTGCCTAATTTTCGTTGAATTTTTTAATAGCTGTTTGTTGTGGACAAATTTAAATTAATTAAATAAGGTTTAAATTTCGCACAGTAGATTTGCAGAGATACTTTGTACAGAGATACACCCAATAGCCTTAAGCCAGCGGTATATTTGTTTCTCGATATCGACGGAAGATGAATGCGGGTCATGCCACTATACGGAAGTCAGCAGGGGTATGATATCAAAAACGGTCTCTCTGCGGTGGCCGCGAGCCAAGTATAGATTGCTAACTGTCGCTGGACAATGATATACACCACGTTGAAAGGATTTCAAAGGAGTGCACTGTCGGCTGTGTATCGTGCACAGTGTTACGCTGTCGTATCGTTGGACTCGGCTTCCTGAAGAAATATCGTCACTACGCCGTTTGTCTCCCAAGAGTAAACCGCCTCGCGGATATTGCATCGGAGATATTTCTCAATTTGGTTAATGTATTTCTGAAAATTACCGGCTGCATATTTCAACGTAAAATTTCAATGTTGCGGAAGCTGGGGGAATTAAAATTTATACTTTATTATACGGAATCTGATATCACGTTCATTTACACTTTGAAATAATAGCAGTTGATTTCAGTGAGAGCTCAACGTCATTTATAACTTATTTTTGACAGGCACGCTTTTAAATTAACTTATTATTTTATATATCTGTTACTTTCTGTTACACTCCACTTTCCATGAGTACTTTTATGTTTTTTTAATCTTCTGTTACAAGATAAAACTTATATTTAAATTTAATGTGAAATTGTATTTAATTTAGAATTAACTATACTTGCAATGTGAGAACCGTGGAAAACTCCCATTTTATTTTTCGCAGTAATCTGTTACAACATTAAATTGTTTAAAGAGAATGTCGCGTTTCGCGCATTTCCGTAATTGCGAAAGAGAGAGTGTGGATTACTTTTTTATACACAAATGGCTAGCTAACTGGAACTGCGCTATGTTTAGAGCGTCGCGTTTGTTGTCGAAGCGCACAAGGAGGCTAATCAATAATTCATGATGGCATAGGGCACCTTCGGTCCATCCACCCCGGCGTTGAAACGCGCCTCTTCAATTCTGCGTTATGTTACTCGAGTAATTACTGCCACAATTTCAGTCCAACGCGGCACTTAGACTAATTAAGAGTCAAGCTTTCATCATGTTGCTTTGCTGTCTTTGCACGCGACGGTTAGTTAAAAGCTTCTTTTATATTCTTCTTGACGTAGATCGTAGAACGTAAGACCGACATAAAATGTAGCCCAGGGGATATTGCACGTATCTTGCTTACGCGTACGCGAATCCCAAGGCGGATCCTATATAAACTTCTAAAAGTTGCTTGTAGCACACTATCTTGATTAACTAAGTCTTAGTTGATTTTCCCATTTTTCCCATTTTTCTTTCAATCATTTAGCCGTAATAAATAACGAAATAAAAAATTAATTATAAAAGAAGTTGTTCTTCTTTTAAGAAAAAATATTTCTTATTTAAGAAAATTGTGTACCATATTTTAAAAAATTATGTATCTTTTTTTTAGTGATGTATTTTTTTCAAAATTATAATAGATTCAAGGTAAAAAGGCGCACAAATTCGTAATATTTGGGAGTCAGTTGTTTTTTTTTCAATTTTTAGGTTGAAAGTCAATTTCAAATTGATAAAGTCATTATAATTCGATCTATTATATTCAGAGATTGCTCCCTTACACTAAAAGTGAGATATAAATAAAAAAAAGCGATTTTCGAGTTATTAAATGAAATAAATAAATATTACTATCAGTCATCAAAAATGAATTAATTTTTATTTAAAAAATCATCAAAACCGTCACTTTCAAAAAAAGTTTTGTTAAAGGTTTTTAAAGTTTGTAAAACAAAATAATAGAAATAACGTTTATTTATATTAAGAATATCGTATATTATCTTGATCAATATTATTCAATTAATTAATAATTTTCTGTCAAATTGAAAAATAGTTTTTCCTCTTTTCTGGGAAACTTAATTTGTTCAGTTATGTTACTTTTAATGTAAGGAAATAATATATGTATATGGTGTAATAACGTTGAACATAAAGGAAATTAAAGTTTAATTTCATAACCGCCTGAAAACTAGAAATTCCGCATTCTCTAACCTCAAGGTTTAACAGGCCGACCTCGAGCCGACTGTTGGTCCTAATATTATTTTTGATGCAGCGTCTACAAGTAACACAGCATCCAGTCTCTTCAACACGAAATGCTCGCAGGAAAAGTATTCCGACTGGGACGGCCTCCATGAATTAAACATTGCGCACGTCGTTGGGCTCCGGCACAAACGAGATTCGCAAATTCATTTCTGTTCACTCGGCACGCGTATACAGCCACATTTGAAAGACAAGAGAATATGCCGTAATTCCGAGAGTTTATGAATTTCAGAACGAAGCTTTTCAGCTTCGAAATCACGAACGCTAACTGTTTTACGCGCTCAATGATACGACAGTTGGCAAATCGGATTAATCGTACCAAAAACGACAATCACGACGAGTAATCGGCTATTTCATTAATAATTGACGCTTTCGTAATACGGATTTGAATTTACGCAGCTTGTTGCGATTAACAGGCATAGAAAGCGTAAAGAATTTAGCAGGAAAATTGTATTTCTGCGTTAATCTATTGTTCTCCAAGTTAAGTGAGGCTATTGTTGTCTACGTTAAATGAAGCTATTGTTATATAAGCTACATATTATTTCGCATTTACAATTAAATGTAAGGTGTACGAGATTACCGATTACTGAGATTACTATTCGTAACTGATTCATGATTCGAGAATTTATTTTGTTATTGCTAAAATTCTAAATAGAAATTAAACAGATCTTAGTTAAATGTTATTTTGAGAAAACGCTGCTTTTTTATATATACTTTTTACACGTACTATAGTTCTAACAATTACATTTGAATATAACTATGTGTTACTATTTATTGGCTAATCGTTATTTGCTATTCGTCTGGCGATAAATACGGAGATTGCTTAAAATTACCATTTGCATTCCGGAGTTTATCACTTAAACAATATTCCTAGATCCAACCATTCGATTTCACGGTCGGAGAAAGCGGGCATCCAAGTGTAAAATTAATTGCAGCTCGATGCAACAATCTCAGGTTTCTCAATTTTCGCGGAAGAAATTTTCTTTTCTCAGGTCTAAGCACAGTTTTACCGCTATTAATGCAACAGGTGCGCGATCGGGCTTTTCGGTCTGCTCGATAAGAAAGAATCGGCCATGTTACTCGACCATTGAATTATAATGATACGGTAAATCGTTTCTTTAGACAAGAAAAACTCTCAAATTATAATAGGGAGTCTGATAGAATATTTAATTGCGAATTTACAATAGATTTAATTGCGAATAAATAGGTTGTTAATTGCAGACTGCAATTGAAGTGAGATAAATGCATTTGAATACATTGCAAATGTATATCTAGAACTGATTGATACAAAATATAAATTTAAAATAAAATGAAAATTTAGAATAAAATAATTTTAAATAAAAAACAATTTTATGTATACGTGAAAAATTGCAAAAAAAAAGATTTTATTTATTTTCTCTTTTTTTCAATTAAGAACGACATATGATAGTGTTTTATAAATTTCCTTGTTTCAGTCCTTGTTTCAGTATTGAGAATAAAAAGAAAATTGTAGAATCGCGGATGGAAATTTACGATCGATATTTTCCTTCTTTTTCAGCACCACGAGCATGCGGACGTGCTGACGGTGGGTTTCAATGTGGACGGTGTCGAACGTGTTCTCGACCTTCGACTGAATACCGATTTAATTCCAGTTGGCTATCAGCAACTCCACCAGCATCGCGGCACGTACAAAGTGCACACCCCGTCGAAAGTTGTAAGTACCGCTTGGGCATCCAGTATTCACATCCGTAGCGTGCTAACCGCTTTTCCGCAAACAACATTTGCGCTAATCGATATCGAGCACAAACGTAATTCCATCGGATACCAAACACCGATCTAGGAAAGCATCGGGATTCATTCAACTTAACTCCGTACTCGGCCATTCATTCGTTACGTATCGAATGGCGCACAAAGAGAGGCATTATCGCTGTTTAACGACATAATATACGACGTAAAATTTACGACAGTATACATACAGCTGTTCGCTCCCCGCAAAGAAAGAAATAATTCCTACAACTTTTCTCAACAATTATTGCGAATAATAAAGAATTTTTTTATTAGATATTATTTTATTACTTTATGTACTTTTTTAATGATTTATTCTGTGATGAAAATGCTAAAAAATTATGCACATCGCCTATTTAACCTTTGAACGCTGATGTCGATACATAAATTTTACACACACAAAAATAAGTTATTCGGAATAACTTATTTCCTTGTATTAACTTATTCTTAATGTAATATTAAATTTTCATATATTTTACACTATTAATGACATATATTTATAAAAAAAAAAAAAAAAAAAAAAAAAAAAAAAAATATTAACTTAAAACGAAGAAAGGAGAATTTAAACACATTATCAAAAAAAAAAATCAATCTTCTTTTCATGTATAATTCAAAATTCTTCATAACTTGTTAATAAAGCTAATAAAATATGTACGTAATTACATACAAAATTGCTTCAAAATTAATCTCGTTTATAATACTGGCTACCAGAGAATTTAAACTAATATATAACGGACTGAATTTTTAAAAACTCTTGTCTCCGCTTGTCCTAACTTTTAACGGGACAGATTGGATCTCCTAATAATCTCCTAATAAAGATACAGTGTAGTGCAAAGATCTCACTCGCTTACATGTAAAATTTATATATTAATGATAGTGTTCCGAGGTTGAAAATAATATCACTATACATGTCACTCGAAGATATAGAACGTAAACGTGTGTAAAATTAGTCGATAAAAATGAGAGACACAGGACATGAAGACGGCATCTTTATCTCTTTTTATTCAACTAATCATTATCATAAAAATAGAGGAAGAACGGATGTCTTTTCTCTCATGTTTGTTAATCACATTTGATATACTATTTAGGTATGGATGGCGCAGTTCATGTTCTATGTCTTTGATATCACTGAAAGGAGATGATCGAAGTTTATTCATTTATTAGTATGTCTTTCTCATTTGTTTTTTTGTGTGTGCTCTTTGTCTTTGCTAGTTTTCGGTTCTCTCATGGTGAAAGTATATGTAAAGTAAATATTAAGTAAAAAAAAAGATATAAATTTAAGGGATAATATAAATATAAGGGTATATAAAGTAAATATACTTCCACCATGAATTCTCTCGCAAGTTAATGTCATAACGGTTCTACAAGTCGACTTGTCTATAGATTTTACGATATGTCTATGTAAAGAAGGCCATCACTTACAATTTAATTTTAATTCAACTTTAAATAATTACATTGTATTAATATCTACTTCTTGCTACTACCATATTCCATGTTACTCCTAGCAATCTTCGCAACGGAATTGACCAATATTAAAGAACTCTGGAAATGATGTTTTATTCAATCAGGCCAACAAAGAGATGCCAGGCAAAGGAGAAATATAGCGTATTGTGATAAAAAAGATAATCTTCGTTTTGAATGAAGAATCCATTTCTTTTTTTAGACGACTCGAGAAAGAGACAATCTATTTGTGAGAAAATTTATTTAATTCCACGCTCGACCCGTGCTTCCGATCCCACGAAAATTAAAAATCTCCGCGGGTGTCGGTGCCATCTCGTCATATCTATCTGCCGTCATCGGGCGGATGGAAAAGGTATAGGTAGGCCTCGTACAGGTATAAGCGACTCGGCCGAAATCGATCGAGGTGACTCACTCCGTCTGCCGTCTGCATGTTTAATAGAACGTCTCGCTATAAACACACGCAAAGTGTGTAGCGGCGTGTTGGTGGGCGTACGACCCCACGTTAAAAACAAAACGTGTATGAGTGGTGGTCGCGGCATTTCCGCTTTATAATTCAAATGCTGTAGCGGAAGAGAAAGGCAGGAAGGACTAAAAGAAAAAAGAAAAAAAAAGAGAAGAAAACTGATGGAACACCCAGAATACGTTAAATTGCAACGGTCGTGCGACGTGTCTGCAGAGTGTATCGTGCAAAACGCGAGGATTGCCTTGGAAATTGCTTCTGCTAAACGTCTAATTCCGCTATCGTAATATTTCTGTAGATAATCGAGTTTACTTAGTTGTTTGTAAAATAGTAAAATAGTAAATATAGACAGTAAAGATACACGGAGGAAAAATAAAAAGCTGAGTGTATTAAATACTTTGGTATTACGTTACTCGACATATATCGATGAAGAAAAACAGGTTATATTAAATTTTGCTCATGCTAAATCGGCGACAATTAAATTTCTCCGCAGTTTATGGAAATTGCGAAAGTATTTCTGAGATATTTCTCTAATTATGAAATTTGTCCAAAATCTGGCGATTACGACATCTCAATGAAAGCAACGAATTTTATACAAACGCAGTAACAATAATTAATATACTTTAACAAATGAAGCTGGAAGCGTCTATCTGGACAAGATTATTGATATAATTATTATACCTTTTCATTTTAATTGGAGCAGAATCGGCATTAAGTTTCTCTTTAAACACATTTGAGTTCATAAATTTAAATTATATCATGCAAAAAATAATTTATTTGTCTTAAGATCTCTGTATTTACTTGAACAGAATGAAATAGACAGAGCTAAAAATAATATTTAAAATAAAGAACAGAATTTAAAAAATAAAATAAAAAATTTAATGAGAAAGATAATATATTTATTACTACTGTTTTAAATTTAATATATTTTTATGATATAAAAATTTATTGAATTAAAAAATAATAATAAACATATAAAATAATCGTAATAACATAGAAAATGAGTCATAGTACTTTTAATTATAAATAACTAATTATAAATAACGAAGACTAACTGCTGTTTCTCGATTGTAATATTCTGCTCGGCTACGTATAATGGGACAATGATGAGCATAAAAAAGTCATCCAGAATGTGGGACGAAAGTCAAGCGGAAAATATAAAACTCGCGAGCCAACTGGCGGAATTTGTTGTGCTAACCGCAGCACTGCACTTACTGTTTTGCACAATTGTATTTAATTAATTGGTGGCTCCGGTTAACGGCTCTATTGCTCCACCCTTCGTTCTTCGCGATATAAATACGGTTTATCCGCGCGGATAAACCAATTTTGAGCTCATTAAAAGAGAAAATACAGATGTGATATAAACCAAAAATTTGAGATACAGTGTAATTCCAATTCTTCGAAAACGTGTAAAAATTTTTTTTAATATACAAAATGTACATATAAAAATATATAAGAAAATTACACAATAACACATATCTAGAATTTATATTTTTATCATGGATAGTGTATATCAAAATTTAAACCATAAATGTACATAATAAATATTGAACATCAAATTTTGTCAAGATAATAGTAGATGTCTCATATATATGTATGTAAATGTATTATATATAAACGTATTATAATAAAATTTTTTCATAACTAGTAAATATAAAATAAATGTCGTAAGTACAAACATTTGCTTCGCAATACTTCGATATTTTTTCTTATTCTGGATAAATGATTTTTCTTATTCTGGATAAATATATGTGATATCGCAAGTACTGCGATATCACATATATTTTGCATCTAATTAAAGTAGATGACAGAAGCAGAATTTATATCTGAATCACTTGTTAAATTTACTAAAAAAGTCTCTCTGTCCAATCAGATAATAAAATATAAAAATGACTGTGATTATTTAGTAGTAATTCATATTTGATTATATGAGACTTTCATTTTCTTGCATATATTATTAGAATATTGCTGCTGTAAATTAAACGTATAACAGACAATTTTCTATCACATACAAAAAACAGCGATCACGTTTAAAACAGCTCTATACACTTTAATTATAATATTTAGAATTCTAGCTGGAGCAGCAAAATATTCCCCTAAGTACACAGGAAAAATGATTTTGCTAAAGTATATATCTAAAAATTTACCTAGATGCAGATCTGAAAACTCTGTTAAACTGTTAAAATAATTATGTAGCACGCCCAAGCTGGTTACTAGAATAATCAAAATTTTTTGCAGCATTGCTCATTATGCTTGATTATCCTACATAATTATTTTGATGGTCCAACAATATTATTTTTAGATCTGTATCTAATTAAATATTTAGATTCTTCAGCAAAAAACGTCTTTCCATGTATATATACGGTTCTTTTATACTCTCAACGCGATTTTGAAATTTACGTCCCGGTAATAAGAACGCGGCTGTTACGAAATGTATTTTTCTTTTGCACAGCTCTCGTGATATAAATCTACATAATCCCCGATGCGGCGCACATGCGATATTACATTTAATAGAAGCGGGGATAAGCTTACCGTGGGCGAATACAAAATTTCATATTCCGTCGACACGCCTCGTAACGCGCTTTCCATAGGGCAACGTTACGCTCTCGCGAAATTTTTCTCTTATCCGACAATGAATCAAATCGCTTTATCCGTCCGTTATGTATCAACGGGCCTTAGTGATTATATCCTTGAACGCATTTAGACGAATGACGATGGATTTCTTACATGAATTAAATGTGTCAATATACGCACAAGGATATTATATACCAGCAACACAAAGATTTTATATGAAAAAGAAATACTATACACGGAAAGAACACACGATTTTACTAAAGTATCAAACAATTTAGCTATAATATGTATAGATCTGAAAATAATTTTGTTGGACTATCAAAGTAATTACGTAGAACGCTCAAGCTAATTGCTAGAAAATTTCTTGTAGCGTTACTCGTCATACTTGAATTTCTTACATAATTATTTTGGTGAACGAAATTATTATATGTATCTAGCTACATTTTAAGATACTTCAGCAAAATTGTTTTTTCCTTGTATGACTCTCTTTTGAAAATGTGCCGAGCTTTGAAATTCTCAAAGGCTGTAAATGAACATTTGTGAAAAGTCATGAAAAGGACGATTTTGCTGAAGTAACTAAAAATATAGATCTAAAAATAATAATTTTGTTAAATCATCAAAATAATTATATTGGATGCTTAAGCTGCTTGCTGAAATATCAAACTTTCCGCAGTATACTCATCATGCTTGAGATTTTTTAATAATTATTTTGATGGTAAAATTATTTTCAGATCTAATTTAGCTTAATTTTTTAGATACGACATATCTCAAAATTGTTCTTTTTATATATGTTTCATATATAGGTTCTTTTTATATATAGGTTTCATTTTTTCAATAAAATAATTGTCAACCATTGTCGTGCTTTGGAATACTTAGATATACGATAAAAAGAATCGTAGGATATATATATTTCCAATATCATTGGAAGCCTTGAATTTTTAGATCGTTTGATATTCAAGAATTCGATATGCATGAATATACATATATATCCTTGTATAATTGATCTTTTTTTTATTCTTGTATCGTTTAATATTTACATAAACTTTTAAGGAATAGTATTTTTATTTTCTTACATACACACACACACGCGCGCGCGCACACAATAATAATAATATAAATACATTATACTATGGAAAAATCGACTTCAAACATCATCGAGATTAAACCTCTGCACTTTGCATTAAGGAGCCTTCATTGCGGCATTTTTAAAGGATGGCATTGGCATAAAACTAACGAGACATAGGGCGAGCTACTGCGTCATCGGTAATAAATAAGAGTCGCGGTTGCATTAAATAATCGATACGACGATTTAACGATACCGACACGTTCTCTCGTTAATTCAATCCCGCCCGTCACGTTGCCGTATACACCTTCCTATGCGGCAATCGGATAATGGACCACGATCGATGGCTCTCGTAACGGAGAAAGCGTCTCGTTTCAAAGAGGATCCCGATACTCCCCGCCTGCAAGATCGTGCTTCTTTGTTGAAGCAATTCCTTTTGGGAGAGTAACGTGCTTGCTCTTCGAGGTAACGGGTCTCCTCCCTCGTTTTTCTCGTGGTGGAAAAAGGAACGTGAAAAATCGCCGGGGTTCGCCAGCAGCGTGTGCACACTCAGAATCTGGGACAACTATATTTGTACTGAGCCGATGTACGGTTCCGATGCATCTGAGAAGTCAAGATAAGCCCGCGAATTGTAAGCTCCGCAATCGGAGCACATAGGCATCTCGATTTCTCGATGTATTATGCCGCATAATTCATAACACAAATCGGATAAAGTGATAGAATTAAAAATAATAAAATGTAAAATTTATATACAAAAACATTATTAGGCACCGAGACCAGCCTTAACCGAATACGGTTCTCTTTGCTTAATGTTGTTGAACATTTTTTGATTGAGTGAGGCAATATTTTTTGCAATAAATTATTTACAAAGTTTTAAAGATGCTTATTATCATCAATAATATTAAATTTCTTGTTAATTCATAATATGTGATATTATTACTCTAACTTCATTCTAGAACTATTTCAAGACCGACAAACAATCGGAGCACAATTTGTTTGAATTGGAAATTTTATAAATTCACAAAGGATATTTTTAGTCACGAAGATTCATCTTGATCGAATATAGCGTTTTCCACTTCTTTATTATTTGATTTCTCGATCGATTTTCATTTAATCATATTACAAAAATAAAGTTTGATTTGAGACCAAATCAAATTTTCAAGTATATATAATCTTTTGCGTTCAAAACTTCAACATTATTTCTCACAAACAAGAATCAAATATTTAATTTTAAATTTAATTTAATCAGTCAATTCAACATATAATAACTTATTTAGATTATTTCTCACAAACAAGAATCAAATATTTAATTTTAAATTTAATTTAATCAGTCAATTCAACATATAATAACTTATTTAGATTATTTTGAAATATTTATGGAGATTTCAATATCGTTTACTGTTTATAATTACATACTTTTTCGAATGTTTGAAGAACTGCGAAAACTTGTAGTAAAGCGCTGTCGACTCTACTTCGATTTAGGAACGCAAAGAATCAAGAGAGAGTTAAAGCTTAAATCCAATTAGAAGTATTCCTTTATTCGTAAACAATTGCACACCTATTTTTGTGAGAACGCTTTTCCGTAATTTCGTATACTTTGAGTTGTTATTGAATTGAGAGAAAATTTGAAACGCACGTACGTATAAAGCGGAAAAGCGAATCACGCGATAAAGCGAATTTCGTGAACATGCAACAAATTTTTAGAATGTTTGAAGAAGTAAAAGAGAATTTCTTAAACTAAACTAAATTAATAGTATTTTCGGCTCCAAAAATAAATTTAGTTCGAGTAAAATATATCTATGTGAGTCTTCACGGTTGTTAATGCAATACATTATATATTCATAAAGCGATAAGATATAATTTGCAAACAATTGAAATGTACTTATATCAAATCAAATATTAATAATCGCGAAGGCTTTCAAAAAGAATTCTTTTAATACCATTTATCTTATACTAATGGCATTCGTGAATTATGTGAAACTTGCAGGAACTCTGTCATTACCAAGGTAGCGTTCGAGATGTTCCTAGTTCGTGGGTGGCGTTATCCACTTGTAGAGGATTGCGCGGTGTCATCTTCGATGGTGAGAATCTTCATTACATTCATCCAGAAGATGAAAACTTGGATTCCACGCATTACCTTTACAAGCACAGTGATCTCACTACCAACGATACGTGTGGTAAGCATAGCACAATTAAATCATCCCTGCTGGATCTTTTTTGCAAGAATTACATGTTTGAATAATGCAAAGCAGAGAAGGATAAAATTGCATCGAAAAGATAGTTAATGTTATTAGTGCACGCCATGTGCATATTATTAGAGTGCACTTTTAATATTTTCAATTGAAAAGCTTGCTGCAACAGTGGACTAATCTGGGCTAAATCATTTTGTAAAAATGGAAAAAATAAACTCTAAAATTAAAATGATTTAAAAAATACATTGATTTTCATATTGCTATAAAAACACTCTCTTATTTTAGCAAGTGTTCGAAATTTATTATGGATAACAAGTTGTGAAAAAAAAATTATAAGAAGGGTAAAATTTCTCTGTATCAGATGTTCATCTCTGTATCAGATTACATTGCTGAGCAAAAAAATACGAATCACTGCATAAATATAACAGTAACAACAGTGGGTTAGTTCAATCTTTGGAACAAGTAGGGGACTGTTATACTCATTCTACCACATTTTCGACTACGTTGTGTTAACCCACTGTTACAGCGAGTCCTTCAACCTCGTTTCTATAAATGTAGATTAACTTTAATTTTAACTTATACTCTTCATCTTGGTTCTAAGAAATTGTTCTAGTTCTAAATTGAACCAAGACTACAATTAATCTACGTTGGTGGAAACGAGCATTAATATTATAAATATTCCCTCCTCTCTTTAAAAGAGGACATTACGAAAAATTCAGATGATTATTATTTCGATTCGTGATACGCTTCTGGTTTTTACGAGATTAACACAATTTGTAATTGGATTGGAATTTGTAATTGGAATCTTAGAATTTTCATGATTAATACGTATTGACTCATAACTACATTTGTAATTCATTCGTTCCAAGATCGTATCCATCGTCGCGGAAATTTCTGTCACCGAGATGATTCCCGCGGATTTTTTTCAAAGTATTCACGAGCTTTGACTCTTAGAAATACAACTTTTAGCACAGAGGAACGAGCACGAGCTCGATTCTTCGTCCTTCTCGGTGGCAGTGCCCCACACGGACTCAGAGACTCGCTTCAAGAAGACTGGTCTCTCCTTAATGGTCTTACGAATGTGAGAGCAAAGCCCCGGTCGTACCTGCCTCGGAGACTCTTTGTCCTCTCCTCGGTCCTACCGAGAATCCTGTTGCCGACGATCGTATGTCCCTGTTTGACGTTTTTCCTTGGTTGCAGGTTACGAAGGCACGCCGTTGCACGTTCTCCCTGATCATCGCGAGATTAAAAGGTTCTCCAGGGTATGTACACAGAGCAACAGTAAAAAAAAAAAAGAAAAGAGAAAAAGGAATTCGCGCAAACCGCTTCCCCGGTAAATTATACGACTTCAAAGAACGTAGTCGCAGGGGTCTTGGTATCCTCGATGTCTTGCGTGTGTATCCTTCTTCCGTTCTTTCCTTCTTGTTGGGGAAACTGTAAATAGTTCCCAACTTAGGAATCGTCTTGAGTTTAATGAAAATTTTAGCACAGAGTTTTCAACAATTAACGGATTATTTAGTGTCGAAAGTTTTTCAAGAAACGCGACCATTAACGATTATCTGCTGTTATGGCCATTTTATTTTGACTTTTAATTTTTGTTAGTTTTATTAAGTGTGTGTTAAAGTTAAAATTAATAAATTTTGTAATTACTGTTACGTTGTGTTCTCTTTTGTAGCACAAAAGAGCGGCTGAAATTATTCGTGGACCTTATAACGCGAACAGACAGTCACGTTACGTGGAGTTGGTACTTGTAATCGACAAGAAGGAATACACCGCGCTCGACGAGAACCTGGATAAAGTATATCAGCACTGTAAGGACATCGCTAACATTATCAACGCTGTAAGTAACGTCGCCGTTGTAATTTAATTGAACGTATAAGTCCTTTTGACCTCAAGTCGAATGAGAATGATCTGAAGCGCACAACGCTAATTCAACAACTCCATTATCCAATTAGTCGTTTTGAACATTTACGGTTTCCTTCTCCTAAAATATATATCTCTAGAATGTATCTTTAACTGTTTTAGCAGTCCCACGAATTTTACTTTATCTAGAGTAATTGACTATTATATGCATAATTATGTTCACACGAATGTGCGACTCGTCCTTTCTTCAAAAAGAAAATATATTTTCGAGTGCGAGAATTTTAATATATAAGTCCTATTAAAATAATAATTATGTACGATCCACTTGTACATGTACTTTACTTAAATCTTATTTACTTAAACGTAATTATATTCCATTGTATCCCCGAAAGTACTTTACAATCAACATATTTTAACTTCGTAGCAAAAGATTTTCTAAGTAAAATTTTTCGATAATTAAATTTTAAGTTAAATTCACTATTTCACTTGAAAGTTACTTGAAAGTTGAATTCTGTTAACTAATTTTCTCGAATTTTTTTTTCAAAGTTATTTCTACTTTTACTTTTATTAGCAATGACTATGATAGATTTCTCTCATTGTCAGTTTGAATCTTTATCATCTCCGCATACGAAAACGAACCATTCTGTGTATACTGCGTTCTCTCTGACATAGCGAAACAGAGAGATTAATTAGCACTGACTCGACCTTACCGCATATCACAGTACCGCGAAATCTCTATGTAAAATACGAGACAGTATATCTCGGTGTGTTTACAGCTATATATGCCGTTGAACATATTCATTGCTCTAATCGGTGTGCAAGTGTGGTCCGAGTCAGACGAGATAGCACTCTCACCGAACGGCGACACCACACTGTCGAATTTCCTACGCTACCGCAGGGAGAAGCTGCTTCAGGATATTCCCAACGATAACGCCCAACTGTTGACGTGAGTGTACAGATGTGTGTTATTTGTTTCGTCTAGCAGTACACAGTGATGACTGAATTTATTTCTCGACACAGGCGAATTACCTTCGAGGGCGGTGTAGTTGGCAAAGCTCTCAAAGGACCGATATGCACCTTCGAATTCTCCGGCGGTGTTTCCATGGATCACTCGAATGTCGTTGGTTTGGTCGCGGCCACTGTCGCTCACGAAATGGGTCACAATTTTGGTATGGAACACGACGGACCAGATTGCGGCTGTCCTGAAGAGAAGTACGTCGTATAGTTTGCCTTTTCTTAATACTTCAAACGTTCAACGAATCATGAAAGAATGACTTTATTTTATTTTGCGATATCCAAAAATAAAAATTACTCCACGAAGTCGCAAGCCTTAAGTATAACGTATTGAATTGTTATCTAATCCCGCTTCAATTATATATTACTAATGTGTCTCCCTTGTAGATGCATAATGGCGTCGTCCAGCGGTTCATCCGGACCAACGCACTGGTCCACGTGTTCGTTGGAACATCTAGCTTTAGCCTTCGAACATGGAATGGATTACTGCTTGAGAAACAAGCCGCAGAAACTTTTTGATAGTCCTATATGCGGTAATGGATTCGTTGAGCCAGGCGAGCAATGTGATTGCGGTTTAAAGGAACACTGCGACAACCCCTGCTGCAACGTGACCACCTGTATGTTGCACAATAACGCGAGCTGCGCGACCGGCGAGTGTTGCGATTTGAAGACTTGTAGGCCGAAGACCGCAGGCACGGAGTGTCGAACTGCTGAGCACGAGTGCGATTTGCCAGAATACTGCACTGGTCAGAGCGAGTATTGTCCAGCGGATGTATTTAAGATAAATGGTGAGACCTGCAACGGTGGCAAGGCCTTCTGCTATGGCGGTATGTGCAGAACTCACGACGATCAGTGCAAACTATTGTGGGGCCCCACTGGTACGTCCTCTGACTCGCAATGTTACGAGATGAACAACAAGGGTACGAAAAATGGTAACTGCGGTTACAATCGCATCGAGTCAAGTTTCATCAGGTGTAACAATGAGTAAGTTGACTATGCAGTACACAGTACACGAAAAAGATCTGCGTTAAATTTTAACGTCAGCATGATGGATGTATTGTAGAAATCTCTTCTGCGGTATGCTGCATTGCAAACACTTGAACGAACGACTAGAATTTGGTATGGAATCAGTCGCAACCTTAAGCCATTCGTTCATCAATAACGGTGGAAAAATAATTCCATGTCGTTCGGCCATCGTCGATCTTGGATTGACCCAGGTGGACCCTGGTCTTACACCGGACGGCGCCAAGTGCGGACCCGGAAAGGTAAAATATTCCCAATAACAAAATTATTTTTAGCTTGAAACAAATATGTAGACATTGCCAAGTTAAGAGAGAGAGAGAGAGAGAGAGAGAGAGCTAAAAATAAAATGAAAAATATCAAACTGACTCTTTTGAAATATCATAAAGAAATTCTACTCGACTAATATTCTTTCGTGATAAACTTCGTGTCAATTTTTACGTTAGGTTAGATTATAATTATAATTAAACAATGATAACGCTACATAATAATACAAGATTTTGATTTGATTTTTTAAAATCGCGATACAATATTTGTATTTATAAATGGTGATTTATATCTAGCATGTAATTTATTGGAAACAATTAGATTATTATAATTTACTTATATTGTTTAGATGTGTGTAAATCAGAAGTGTATGTCAGTGGCGGATCTGAAAGCGTCCGTGTCTGACGGTAAAGCTTGCCCGAATAATTGCAATGGTAACGGAGTGTGTAACAATCTTGGTCATTGCCATTGTAATCATGGCTTTCGACCACCTGACTGCCTTCAAGTTGGAGTTGGTGGTTCCGAAGATAGTGGTCCAGCCGAAGATCCCAACGGTATCCATTTTATTTTATATTTACTCTATTAATCGATGAAAAGCAGAAGTAATTTATTGACGAATTTCATCAAAGAAAAAAATTACATATAGATAGAAAAAGGAAACAGACTGACTGAAAAATGTTTTAATTTGATGTTCATTTAAACACGATTTAAATAAGAAGTCCATATTCGGTTAAAACAGGTTTTAGTGCTTAGTAATATTTTTATATTGTTCTGATATTATCTAAAGATGTCGGATATATTCAATAATTCAAAAAAGCCTACTCCATTGTATAATAAAAACCCACCACCTCCACCGGTTCCTGCTCAAAGCTTAAAACCAAAGATCCGAGCGATTTCTTGTGTGTTTGTATAAATCTCATCACACACTTTTATATTTTTCTATTGTAAATTTTTTACAATACGATTTCCAATTCGAGCAAACTGCGTGCCGATTATTTATCAGTCTCAAAACATAGTAGTCTAAACTAAAGCTGAAGCACGTAATATCAAAACTTAAATTGGCAAGCAATTTAATAATACTGATGATAATGAGCATCTTTACAATATTAAAGACCTTATTACGAAAAATATTACTCCAGTCGAGATTCAAATCTGGATCTTCCTTTTCCTGCAACTAGCATCTTCAAGATCTTGTTGGGCTATTTCAAGACAAATAATCAATATACTGTTTGTTTGAACTGAAAATTGTAAAAAATTCATAAAAATATTATTAAGCACCAAGACCCGCTTTGACTAAATATATTATTTTAGCAATGTCAATTATATTATATGATGATATTTTGTACGTTTTCAGGAAAAAATGATTTCATAACTGCAATTTATGTTATCTTCTTGGGAGTGTTGCCCGCCATAGCTCTGTTCCTATTCGGCATCTGGTATGTCAGGAATTCCGGACAGCACTGGAAGAAGGATGTGATGTCTACGTACGTATCTAGTCTCGACCGTTTTAAAAAGAAACGTAAACCGCATGCCAATAAATCACTCGATGTTTTGTCATCAAATACGTCAAAGACACAGACACATTACACCACCGGTAGCAAATTTTTCGGATGGCGAATAATAATTTCCGCCTATTTTACGCCGAAGAAAAAGAATGCTTCTCGTAACACGAATAATAAAATATTCACGATTAGTGATAATGTCAGTCTCAAAGAGCCGCTTCAGATAACTAAGACTGATCTGATATCCACCACCAATCCGGACGCTATTAAGTGTAGCAATAATATTGAATACAGAAAGTCATTGCTGTTTGGCAATGTAAAACCGGATGTTAGTACAAAACCTCAAACAAATGAAGTTTGTAATAAGATTGCAACTTTTTCGGTACCTGCTGTTGAAGTCCGATCGAAAAAAATTACTCCACTTAAATCAGAATTAGGCTCCAAAATATCGGAACGTATTCAGCAGATTCAGAAAAGATCGTCTAAGAACGATAAAGGACTTACGCTCAATACTGATATTAAGTTCGAGCACTTGAATGAAAGCCCAGCTAGTACATCTAACATTATTTCAAAAACGCCTGATGTATTTAATAACTCAAAGAAGCCTGCTCCATTTTATAATAAAAAACCACCGCCCCCACCGGCACCTGCTCAAAGCTTAAAACCAAAGATCTGAGCGATTTCTTATTTATCTGTATGAATCTCATCACGCATGGATATTTTACGTAAAAATTTATTACGTATTATTAGAGAAATTTTCTATTTATAGTGTATTAAGATATTCTTACAAATTTTGAATCTGTTTTAGAATCTACAATACTTAATAGAATTTATATTTTCAGATACAATATATTTTTAAAAATTCATTTCAATTACAGTGCATTATTTTCAAAAATCAAAGTAAGAAATTCATTTTATCAATATAAACTTTTTGCTAATTTAAAAAGAATGTAGCTTATTTTTCTAAGAATATATTTCTTAAATAATGAATATAAAATAAATAATATATTTAAAAACAATTTTATTCGGTATAGTGCGAACATCATAGCGCATTTTTTTGCGAACTATGATTTTTGCATTATAATATGGGAATTCGAAAACGGTGATGGTTTACATAGAAACAATATTTTCACATTACTGAATGCCAAAATGCATTAAAATAATTCCTACTGTGATTGTAACTGCTGATAGTCGTTATAATGCTCCAATATATTCTTTCAGTCAAAATTATAATAATATAATATTTTTACACGAGTTAAAAAAATTAGATTAGTAGTTAAGCAATTTAAATGATATTGAATTTTTATCATGTTTATATCATTTATGTGATCAAATCTGTTCCAAACAGATTTTTTTATGCAATAAGTAACGATGGAGTGTAGGATTGTACGTGCATTGATGTGTATTTTTTTATTTAATTCGTATTGACTACATCTTTGGTGCAATATGCATTGAGTGATTTTGAACTTACAATTAGAAAGTCTAGATGAAATATATGGCCACGATGAACAGTATTATGTTCTTATGGACTTGTGTGCATGTACACAAACTTACACTATCTAATTTAAAGCTTTATTTTACTAATTACATATTAATTACATAAACAAAATAGAAGTTACGTAAATAAAAATAACTTTCATGCACAGCATTCTATATCGCAATATTAATATATGTAAATGCCTCTAATGCAAAAATTTTAACAAAAAAATAATCTATTTATTAATATATCTATGGCTCTTCTTTGTTCACAGTTTTCAAGTTATTAATCTATCAGTATTGCACACACATGACTAATGTTAAATAGATTAGTTCAATGTTCTCTGAACAAAATACTGTTCAATATTTTAAGCCTAAAATTTTATATAGAAACTATAAATTTAGTATAGACATATTGCGTCATATAACAGCGAAGATTGTTGGAGAGATTATTTATAACGTATAGAGAGAGCATGTGCAGAATCATGTTATGTGAGCATGAGCATGAATGAAGGTTCTTTTCTTTTACTAGCTCTTTGCATTTTATCAAAAAACCGATAATTTACATTAGATGCTACTATTAGACATGCAGTTTTAATGATGATTTTTTTATTATATTAATAATAATTACGTAAGAAGTACTTAATTTTGATTGTAAAAACGAGTTTTTTTAATTCTTCACTCATTCCTTGGATATAAAATTTAAATATCCAATAATGTTACTCATACTTAGAGAAATGAAAATGTACAATTTATTGAATAAACATAGTATTGATATAAAGTGTTTTTAGTCTTCCTTTATAATCAACGATTTCCTTCTTTTCCAACGCTTGCTACTAATCTCTTAATTTGTAACTAACATTTCCCGGCAATTTTCTTGTCTATGCATGCGTTTGGATTTGCGGTGAATAGCTACAGATTTGATAAAAATGCTTTTACATGATTAATTTTCAAATGATGTTAAATACGTGCATGTGTTGGAGCATATATACAACTAAACTGTAATATGTAATAAAAACTTAAAATTTACATTAGTTTTCATTTAAATTATTTTACTATTTTCGATACAAACACGTTTCATTATCGAGATCCATGCAACGCTGCTAATTTATACTAAATAAAAAAGACCTTTAACTAAACTTATTTTATTACGATCAATGTGTATTCATTAGCTATGTATCGTAATTGCGCGCGCTTACAAGTTCCTCGATCCCTCCGCTTATAATTTTGCTTCAAATTTCAGGACCGATCGTGGCCACAATGGATTGCTAATCAAAACGATCGATCGTTCCAGCCCTATGTCCCGTAACATCGAAACGATCGATTCTAGTCTGAGTCAAGATCCCGCGTGCGTGAGTTTGCTGCCTAAGGCAGAGGCTGACGAGCGATACAACAACAATATGTTTGGCCAGTTTAAAGGTTTCACGATTACACCAATCCACTCGAATCAATCTAAACTGGCTGAGCCAACGAAACCGGCTCCACCTCCACCGGGATGGATGCCTACCGTGGCAATAAAGACAAACATAGCTAAAGCTAACATGCAAAAGTGTAATGTGCCGCAAAGAAGCAATTTGTTGAGTTCTAATGATCCAAGCTCAACTGCACCAATGTTACCGCCGCTAAATCCAGGTTCTACGGCACGACCGTTGATTAGTAGTCCCGTACTGGCGGCCACAACCTGTACATCCGTCGAATTAGTAGCTAAGGTACCCACCAGACCTGCCCCGGACGTACCTATGCGTCCAGCTCCGCCACCGCCCACTTTCGCGCCTTCTGTAAAGCCACAGAGACCTAATAGCACGCCTTTGACAAACGTAATACTGCCAGAACCCGAAAAGAAGTTGGAAAAGGGCAGCACGCTTAACCGAATTGCGTCGATATTGCGTCCTGGCTCCGGCATTATGAGAAGCAATTCCCAGAGTTCACCGAGGGATGACAAGAACACGAATTCTCTACCGAGGAACCAGCACCACAAGGCCAACAAAGTTATCGACAAAGAGATCCTAAGGAACCTCGAAATCTCTAATCCGATACCACAGACAGAGATCGAGATTGCGACACCAGTAATCCCAGTGATATCAACGACCGAAGTCGAGAAGAGAAACGTGGTCCTGCGCGCTCAATCAATGAGAGACAGCAAAGTTACGTCAAGACCATTCGTCCAAACATTCGGCTCGATGCGTCAGACGACACCTGTTAAGAGGCCCACCAGTATACCTGCCAGCACGAGGCCTACGTCACCACCTCCGGGCCCACCGAACATCACACAGACGGAAAAAGCTGCCGAGAATGTGATAAAGATTCCAGGATTGCCGGGTTATCAGAATCCGCCGGTGAAAACTGTTCAGAAACCATTAGAGAACACTTACGACGACTGCATGAATCTGATTACAGAATCATCCCTGACGAAGATCACGGAGGAATCGGCCATGAACGACAATATATACGCAGTGATAGAGGAACCCGTGCCGGAGAAGAACAGGAAGAACATAGAATTGGAGGTAACGCCGGTCGATAACGAGTATAAACTGCCGAAACGTATTGATACCATACCCGGTGGCCCGAATAGCCTGGAATCGATGGGTTTATTGTCAGAGATTGTATCAGAGATATCGAATCGTAATTTTGATTCCATATATTCCACTTCGACGTTAACTAGGAAGAAAAAAGAGGATAATGGGGAAGATACAACGAAAAATTTGGAAAATATGGGATCCAATAACTCTCTGGGTGGTTACATGAATTCGAACCACTACAAGGTACCCGGTGGAATTTATTCAAACTCAACGTCTAGTAAATTTAATTCTTCGAGTTCCACCACCAGTTCCGGCTATCTTCATCCATCCATGATAAATGTTCCACAAGTAGAGAAGAAAGAGGCGAGCAAAAATATTTCGGATGCAAATGACAACTTAAAATCGGTCGATAATAGTAATCTAAACACTCTTAAATCTAATAATCCTAATATAAACGACGAGCTGTCGAAGGAGCTCGGCATGAAACCACCTGAGAATCCTACAGGGTATAAACCGTTTGCTTCAACGAAGACTCGACCATCTCATTTGATACATATCAAAAAGGACGACCAAACTGAGAATAAGATTCCGGCTAAACCGCCATTGAATAGGACTAAAACGCCTCCGAACGTTGCGAAAAGCCCGACTTCCAAAGATATACCCGAGTCGAGTGTAAAACTCGCGAGACAAAGTTCAGATAATACATTAAAATCCTTAAAATCCTCGAAAGTTTCCGACACAAGTTCGACAATAGTGAAACAGAGCTCGGATGCGAGTCCAATTGCGAGACAAACACAAGTAAACGCGAGCAAGTCGAGTAGCGATTTAGATAAAGAAGAATCACACACAACAGTATCTGTCAAAAATGTGCCTTGTAGTCCTAAGGATAATCTGGGAAAGTTCAATAGCCCGGATCTGGTCTCGAGTTGCTCGAATTCTAATCAGGGTGGAACAAAGTCGCCGGATGTTGTGGGTAGCAATCCCAAGTTCAATCTCTCGCTTAAAACCGTTCAAAAGACTCCCACGCTGCCGAGGAATGGTCAGAAAACGCCCACAACGCCGTTGAAACCACTCAACATTACATCCAAAACAACCAGTCTCTCGGAAAAGAAGAAGTCTCCGACTGGCAACGCAAGTGTGACTAAATCGCTATCTGCCAAAGAGGCAAATACTGGCGGTACTAAGCCATCGCATTTGACACCGAAGGTGCTCGCTAAAACAGAAATCAAGAACGGGGATGGAGGTACAGCAGCGAGGACGAATCCGCTACAAAGAGTGGCGAGCGGTAAATCTAACGTAGCGTCGCTCCAGCAAAAGTTCGAGACTAATAAGAACAGTTCTGGTGTCGCGAGAACTATACAGAGTGCGAATAGTAAAAAACCGGTGGCACGAACGACGGAAGTTGGCGGCGGCGGATTGAGGAAATGAGCAATCACCCGGATGCGTGTGGCAGCTCGACCTTTCCGATATTCGGACGTGCTTGACGGGATTGAAAAAGCGTTAGAGGAAAATCTATACTTGAAACATTCTAGTCCGTCATATTGAATCGTTCTCGGTGGAGAATGCGTGGTATATTATAAACGTGTATACGCGTTCATGATAAACGAGTACATCATAAGCGTGCACGAGTATAAACGTAGATAACGCGCGAGGGCGATATATCTCTTCTTATTTAAGAAATCTTAAACGGAAGTTAAAAACATAGTACAAGGATCTTTTCCTCTAAGATCCATAAAACGCTAATTTTACAAGCAAATATATTTCTTGTCGGAATATTAAAGATAGATTGTATGCGGCTGCGTTGCATAAGAGATACAACATTAAAAATTGTAAATAGCGCCCACACTTAAAAATTCTCATATTTTTTGTAGAGACTATCCATTGCCGATGTTCAAGCGTACCTATATAAGCCAATAATTATCGTAATATTTATCTTAAGCGTTTTATAAGCGACATTGCGAGGCAAGCGACAGTTATTTTCGAAACCATCGCTTGAAACTAGAATGGGCGTGTACGGAATTAATTGACCTCTGTGATATATGTATATGTATAAAGAAATATTATGCACAGAAACACTATTATGCCACATTGTTATGGCTAGCAGATTTTAGACGCGACCAAATTATTTTATATCATATTACATAAATCGTACTGACAAAAAACGCGCCGTTAAGTTTTCTAAAAAGCCATCGGAAATCACAGTCATATCCGACGTAGCTCCGTTAATAGGGGAAGAAGGTCTCTTTTCTTTCCAAAGATTAAATATTTATGAGAGATCAAGTTGCAAGATTGTACCTTCAAAATCCCATGGGAGTCAAAATGGAAATGCTATTAGTTAGGAGAGTCTAGGTGTTAGCGCATGCTAGTAACATAACACTGCGAATCGAATTAAGGTGATATCCCCTCGACGGCAAAAGGCAAGGCCGCTAAAATATTCCGCCTCGATCATGCAACATCACGCAACCTTTATTGTCTCATTATCCCTTGCATAAATCAGAGGCTTGCTTCGTCTAGGACAGCTCTAGATGCAAAGACTAAAATTATTTATTTGACTGATACCCGTGTAAATATATGTTTGTAAGATGTAGGCATATAGTAGAAGTTTTGTACGATGTATCTTCGCGCCAAGAATAAGTTACATTCGTTACATTCGTAAGTTACTCACGCGCATTATATGTACGATCGCGAGAAAGAGGAAAGCAGCTTCTTGAACGTCGAGTTTAGCGTTAAGCACGTTAAGGAAAGGTTTTATTGAACTGATAAAGTCTGTCAGAGTCGAATTACGTTTGTGCATTTATTGTTTCCTTTTTTCCTCTTCCGCGCAGCGAATTCTCCTGTACGAATCCAGTCGATACTTTGATTCGTAGCGTTATCTATTTTGTAACAGTTCCTACTTGCGGAGCGTCCAGAAATCATCCCACCAGAAAGTTTCAATAAAGAAGTTCAATAAAGCTTTTTGACCATTTACTGCGTATTGTGCATTGCTTTCTCCGCTTGTTTCTTTACATGCGAGACGTCGTGTGCGTTGCTTCGATACGAGGACAATCAGATGTTCATTTAGCGTACAGTGTACGAGGAGGTTTGTTTCAGCAACTCCTGCTCGTTATTAATGAATAAGTATTATTTATAAGAGTATTAAAAAAAAGAAAGTAAAAGAAATGTTAAATACCACTGAAATGTGTTGAAAAGAAAAAGATATTGGCCACCAGAATATTTATTTTTTAATTTGTTGGAAATTTTCTTTACGCTGACTGGAAATTAAACTTTTAGATCTAGAGGAATAATCCTAACTCAGCGAAGAGAACTTCCAACAGTTACAAAATAAATATTCTGCTAAACACGGCTGTTGAATACCATGCAACGAATGGTTGCACCAATTGCGACCGTACAATACAAATATTCGATGAATTGGCTCAAGTATAACGCAGTCTACGAAGTCACAACACTTCGTCTTACTTCGTCTAGTAAAAAGAACAACAGGCATCATTGCAATACATACTGTACATTCGGTACCAAAGATAAGTAGCATCCTATCTACAACACTGCTGAGATAAGCACTACAATAATTAATTAGCCGTCGATTTACGATAATTGTGTACATTAAAACTCTTAACGATGTTACAATAAAGTCTTTATTCCAAGTAAACATTTTCCTGAACCACCCTCTGCATTTCTGCATTGTGGCAGAAATTAATTGAATCGCTCACATAAAAGGAGAAATATACGTACAAGAGTTGATCAATTCGGCTAAACATAAACAGCCCAGGTAGAATATTAAGTCATAATAAACATCATATAATGACATCATAGGACATCGTGACGCCAATTGTCACTTAAAAATAAACTAAGTTTATTTTTAAGACAAAAAATAAGGTCATGATGATGTTCCCGGAAAAAAATGGTTTTATAGTCACATAAATTTATATAAAATTATATATAATTATATATGATTTTATATAATTGCATATAAAACGTTTTTTTTCGAATCCTTATAATTATATTATTATGACTTCCGTATTGTACTTGTGTGAGTGACAATACGAGCAAAACGTCAGGACGCTCCTGGCACTGTCAGGAATTGGCAACCACACAGTCACGAGCAAAACGTCAGGACGCTCCTGGCACTGTCAGGAATGGGCAACCACACAGTCTTTATACACTGGATGCTTTTCATTTAGTGACACAAGTAGATACGTATATCGTTCTATCTTTCTTTATATTCCATGAGGAACGAAAACAGAATTACAATACTTGTGTTGATTTATGTCACCAAATGGAAAGCAACCATTGATATTCGTTCTATTGTGCTACTTATTATAACTTCCTCAGTAACTCAAGGAACACTCCAAGTTGAGAGAAAGTCAAAACGATTTTATTTTGATACCTTGATAGTCAAAATGATCATTTTTAATTGTATAATTTGACTGTTTTTTTTACTTTAAGAATCAAAATTAAGTCATTTTGATTTTTTACTTTATGTGTTAATTTACTTGGATAGGAATAACATATTACATCGATATTATTTTCCGCTCAACAATATAACGTATGTACATAACAGTTTCATTATTGAGTAGGAAATTTCTTACTCGACAATTTATAACATCGAAGAAATATAATGTTACTCTTGTATGATGTTCTCTTATTCGTAACAAAAGCAATAGAAAGAATCGTGAAGCTCCAAAATTCATATCTATTTCGTTTTCTAAGGCCCAGTTCCACACAACTCACGGTTAATTCTTAACCGAGGTTCAATTTGTTTCTCATCTCTTCCCAATTCTAGAATTGGAAAGAGACAATGAATAAATTGAATCTCGCGTTAAGAGTTAATAACCGTGAGTTGTGGAACTGGGCCTAATAGGCCTACAATAAGCCGTAAGTCAGAACATCGGAAATCTTAACCAGTCTTAACCAAGTCGTTCAAGTTGGCTATTGGCCAACTTCACCGATTATGACTTAAGATCGCTTAGAACTTCTGACTTGCGGCTTATTGTAGAAGGGCTATTAACCAGTCTTAAGATCGCTGAGAACGATTAAGAAAAAGATTATGACTTAAGATCGCTTAGAACTTCTGACTTGCGGCTTATTATAGAAGGGCTGTAACTCTTCTTCCGAGTCATTTTCAGTTCCTCAGACTTTATTGTGTGAGGAATCAAGAAGCGAAAGGAAAAGCGTGCAAGAGTCATAGAAAAGTACGAGTGCACGCATATATGAAGCGTATGATAAATTGACATATCCACTCAGCAAGACGTAACGAAATGACGTCATGATGCAACACGAGACGCAACATAAGGCAATGACGTAAAGCATAACGTAATAACGCAATTTGACGCAATGTGACGTAATAGTTGGTCGAAGATCCGTTACGTGTATGCAAAAAAACAAACAAAAACGAAAATGCGACAACGCAAGCGCTGATGGCGCGTATATCGACATTATTGACGTCAAGTCGTCAATGCGATCAACTTCATCAAAATTTGCGAGAAATATACACGTCAGCTGCGGCCGAGTGGGATTAGGGAATGGGGATCACGATTTACGCGGCGGGTACTATCCCTATGAATGAAGGGAAATCGTACATCGCGCGCTTCGTCCGTCCGCGCGAGCGCGAGCGCGGATGGCAAATTCAATGGACGCAAAACGTAAAACGCGCACACGCGTTTCCGTGAAAAAAATCTGTTTTTGGGGGGAGAGAAAAGAAAGGGGAAACGGGTGTCGACAGTGTCGACACGGCGAACAGCCAACTGCCGTCGATCCCGATGGTGCGCGGGATGAGATGAGCAGGGTTGCGGTTGCGAATCACTATTCACTATGCGGATTACCGCTGTTTAATCCAAGCCGCGAATTATGACGCTGACTTTGAATCATACACAGTCGTGACGAGTCTATTTCGTAAGTATACTTTTCAAAAAAATTCGGAGCGGGAGGAGTAGACCCGCAAAAACTTCACGTTCATAGTGGATACGGCGTCGAGTAAATGTCTGGATTTGATTACCCGAATTAAATGACTAACCTAGAAATTGTACCCTCCCCAACCGAATTGAGTCCGATTTATTCGCTTCGTATTGTGTTTATGCGGTGAATGAACGGATGAAGCACCGTACTCCGCAATCATGAAAATTCATCCGTTTGACCGCGATCAAAGCCGCGTTTCCAGGCCATTTTATGAATTACAGAAGATTCGACATTGACTGCTCATACCTGTTGACATGGTGAAACTAGCATATTCACCACTCTCCCAGCTCGCGTCCACAGACATAATGTCCAACGTATGCCCGAACAATATGATAAAACCTACCTTATCTGAAGTAAGTTGTATTACTTTACTTTTATGCAATTGAAAAAATAATATGATTACTATGTCAGATAATAATGTTTATAGCAAAAAGTAATTGTTTAATTATTGTGTGTGTGTGTGTGTGTGTGTGTGTGTGTGTGTGTGTGTGTGTGTGTGTGTGTGTGTTACACAAAAGTTTACAACACTAATCGAGACTCATATGGGTTTTGTTGTTTGCAGGTGTTACAATCAGACTCTGTGAAACGGCTGTTTAATCAACCGGACCTTATCATTAAGACGATCCCTTTATCACCACTCGAGTCTCGCAATGCATTTTTGCATAAAAGGAATGGTATGAATTCAACATCAAATCACACAACAGCATCTGAAATATCGATATTCCCTGTTGGGACATCAGACGAAGAAAAGGAAGATGCTAATCTTTTACCTTCAAAAATAAAGCACAAAAAGTCGGAAATTGCTTTGCTACCTATTAAGAAGAAATCGTGTGGTCATTATCAGCCATGTGAAAATATTATCTGTGACGTGACAGTACAGCAGTACGTGGATAAAGATTGTGTGTCACCTATGTTAGCATTGAGCATAGAAGAAAATGAGATAAATGCGCCGGTTGAAAAACACTGTAGGAATAAGTATTGTGATGCATTAAGCATTGATCATAATCGTTGTCGTCAGGCATCAATAAAGTTATATAAATGTGACAGTTCATATACGTGCGACATTTGTGGAAGAACATTTAAGAAATTGATATCTTGGATACATCACAGAAATTGTAAGAGAAAAAAAGTGTACATTCATAACGATGTAGACAGATTGCATTTACTGAAGGAGCGGATGCGCATTCGAGAGTTGCAGATTTTAGAAATTGCGAAGATGAAGAAACGCGATTATTCGGATCCTAACAAAGTGATGGAGACGCTGTGGAAAAATGAGGAGTTGATAATTATTCCGCAAAAAGCACCTAGTCAACCAAGAGTCAGCATGACTTTGGTACCTAACACTCAATTGACTAACACTAATGCTCAACCTATCATAAATCATTCACAGATAACTAAATCTGCGAATACCTTTGGAAGTGCGTCTGTCACGGTTTCATCGCAGAACACCGTTGTTTTTCCCAACAACACGTTACGTTCAGAAAGCAATGTAAAATCAATAGGTCAAGTAACATTTCCAAATTTACAACAAAATTCCTATTTGGAATCTACTTCCGTTATGATTCCAGCTAAAGCTCAAACTCAAGTTCCAGTTTCATCTTCAACTCCAGTTCTAACTCTAGCTCTAGTTCCAACTTCAACATCGTCTACAGTTCCAACTTCAACTTCAGTTCCAACTTTAGCCATAACTTTAGCTCCAAATTCAGCTTCAACTTCAGCTTCAACTTTAGTTCCGTTAACTCTAACTCTAGCTTCAAGTTTAGCTCCAGCTCCGGTTTCAGTTCCAGCTATAACTCAGATTTCGGCTCCCAATGTTATTACCACTTCTGCATCTACTTCGATTGTACCTCCGAACAAGTCATGTATTCAACTCACAGTTTCACCTCAAACTACTACTGTTCAGCCGATAAACAACTTAAGTGTATCACCATCACACATTGTAAAGTCCACGGCAATTCAGCCTAAAACGTTCCTCACGCCGATACGCGTGGTACCTATAGCCAATTTGATAAGTCCGCCGTCGTTGTTACATCGCACGCAAGGCATTCCTAAGTTCTGCATTGTTGCAGAAAAAACCACTCCGGTGACCACTTCGAATTCACCGTCTGTTCAACCTACTGTTGCAACTGTTGTCAGTACCGCCACTGTAAATGCTCCAAAGTCTCTGACGCAC